AAGACTGGAGTGGGTTGCCATTTCCTCCTCCTGGGGATCTTCCTGACCCAGGGATCAAATCTGCATCTCCTGTATCTCCTGCATTGGCAGGGGGGTTCTTTACCACTGAGCCACCTGGGAAGCCCTGCTTATCAAGAGTCTCTCTGTGAATATAGGTGCATTTCCCCACATTCACAGATATTTACAAATAGTTTGTTAGGTCTATGCCATTCCCCATCCTGAGGACGTGTTCCCGTGCGCCTTGTGTAGATATCTGATGTAGTTCGTTTGATTTTCACCTGGAAGGAGTATCTTTTTGTTACCAGTATGCACACGAGGTAGCAGGAAAAAAAAAATTTACTCTGCCTCAGTTTACATACTCAAAAGAGCACATAATTCAGTATGTCTGCTGTTCTTCACATGGCAAATCAACTTGCTCTTTAACACAGATATTTGATAACTCACACTTGAAAGTGCAAGTCGCTCAGTTGTGTCCAACTCTCTATGACCCCATGGACTAAACAGTCCATAGAATTCTCCAGGCCAGAATACTGGGATGGGTAGCCGTTCCCTTCTCCAGGGGATTTTCCCAACCCAGGGATGGAACCCAGGTCTCCCGCATGGCAGGCAGATTCTTTACCATCTGAGCCAGCAGGGAAGCCGAAGAATACCGGAGTGGGTAGCCTGTCCCTTCTCCAGCAGATTTTCCCGACCCAGGAATCGAACCAGGGTCTCCTGCACTGCAGGTAGATTCTTTACCAGCTGAGCTATCACACTTCGCTAGTTGAAAAATCTGTTTTTCCTCTTCCCTTTTCTTCATCAATGAGAATTTGGTAATAAGACAAAGAACAAAGTACTCCAGTAGTCCTTCCTCCAAAGGCACTTTTTTCCCATCATTATTTCCTATAACAGTGAGTTTCCCCATTAAAACGCCCTGTGCCCGGTGTGGGTCAGCTTCATACAATGCTTGCTCAGTCCTTGCTGTACTGGGTTAGTGATTTCATTCCTTACATCCAGACTTACCGAATACAAAATTTCTAATAAATTGCATTTTCCAGTTATTATTGGCTTTAATTTTAGTGTATCTGGAGGAAAAGAAGTCTGGGTGAGAAGTGCCTGAGCACAGGACGCTCCCCGTTTTCTGCTTCTAGGTGACGCTTCTGCTGGCCGTGGACTGTGACAAAGTCGATGTCCCTTGGGTAGAAGCTGAGCGGGTAGAAAGTGAGAGCGTGAGCAGGACAGTCGTCAGGAGACTAACCTTTACTGACCGCTGACTAGGGTGCACTGAGCACTGAATTAAGCCCTTTACGTACTTTCTTAGAAGTGTCTCTTCTGGCTCTGCCGGGTCTTCGCTGCTGGGTGGCTTTCTCCAGTCGCAGGAAGGGGCTACTTGCCAGCTGCGAGGCGCAGGCTTCTCGTGCTGATGGCCTCTCGTTGAGAGGCTTGAGGTCCAGGCTGAGTTGCACGTAGCCTGTGGAGTCTTTCTGGGCCAGGAATCAAGCCGTTATCCTCTGCACTGGCAGGCAGATTCTTAGCCGTGGACCACCAGAGGAGTCCCTTTATATATTTTCTTATATTAATATTTAATCTGGTAGCTCAGCTGGTAAAGAATCCGCCTGCAATGCCGAAGTCCCCGGTTTGATTCCTGAATTGGGAAGATCCCCTGGAGAAGGGACAGGCTACCCACTCCAGTATTCTTGGACTTTCCTGGTGACTCAGATGGTGAAGAGTCTGCCTGCCGTGCGGGAGACCTGGGTTCCATCCCTGGGTTGGGACGATCCCTGGAGGAGGGCAAGGCAACCACTCCAGTATTCTTGCCTGGAGAATCCCATGGACAGAGGAGCCTGGCCGGCTACAGTCCGCGGGGTTGCAAAGAGTTGAACACGTCTAAGAGACGAAGCACATCACGGCAATCCTAACCCTAGTCGTATGAGGCAGGAACACATTTCTTAAGGAAGGAAACTGAGGGCGGGGGCAAGGGATGGAAATATCTATTGAGTACAAACCGTATCTAGGTTCTGCACTAGGCACCACACCCAGACCCTTCATTCGACCTTACAGCCCTCCTTGATGGAGTGATGGCCCCTAGAACATCTGACTTAGATGGGAGGAGAGGACCCTGATGCAGGTGGCCATTCCTCTCAAACGCGCGTCCCTTTTCAGCTTACCAGGCAGCCTGCCAGCCGCGTCCAACTGACACAGATTTTAAGATTTTAAAAAGGAAGTACTAGATATATTTCTTTTTTTATCTCATTCATTTTACTTTCATCTTTAGGTGGTGTTTTTTTTCCCAGCTTTTATTTATTCATTTTTTGACCTCACTGCACAGCAGGTGTGATCTTAGTTCTCTGACCAGGTGTGGAGCCCGCACCCTTGCTTTAGAAGCTCAGACTCTCTTTACCACTGGATGGCCAGGCAAGTCCCAGATAGATTTCTTGAAATGACTGAAATACAAACACCTTTGAGTAGAGAAACCCTTCGGAGCAACTAAGAAAACAGTGTGACTTTGTGTTTTCTCTACATGCTGCTTCTTAATGAATTTTTACCTGACCCTCAGTCCCTTTAAATTCTCTGTTAGACTTTTGAGAATTGCTCTCGTTTTATTTACTCTCCCCCAGACGATGAAGCCTCAGGCAGCTTCTCGAGGTCACTCTCATCACACAGCGCTCTGCTTCCTCCCGATGAGCTGGTCTCCACATGTGAAATCCCTGGGACGGGCGGGCAGGAGCGGTGTCAGCAGACTTCCCGGCACAGCGTCCCGGGCTCCTCTCAGCAAGCTGCAGGGAGATTCTGTCTCTTCTAGTCACCTCTTGTTGAGGCAAAACTGGCAAATAAGTGTATACCATGATGATTTCCTGTCCATATCCATTATGCAATGATTACTGCAATCAAGTTAATATATCCATTACTTCACATCGTTACCTTTTTTTTTGCAAATTTTATTTTTAGCAAATTTCAAGTCTAAGTGACGTCATACAGTATCTCTTTCTCTGTCTGGCTTATTTCAGTTGGCATAATGCTTCCAGATTCATCCATAAGGTTGCAAATGGCAGAATTTCCTTTCTTGTCTAAGGCAGAATAATATTACATTATGAATATATGCATCACATCTTCTTTATCGATTCATCCACAGATGGGCACTCAGGTTGCTCCCATAGCTTGGCTATTATAAATAGTGCTGCAGTGAACTTGGGGGTGCAGATACTTCTCTCCGATATTGATTTTGCTTCCGTCAGATATATTCTCAGAAGTGGTATTGCTGGGTCCTTTGGTAGTGCTAATTTTAATATTTTGAGGGCCCTCCTGCTCTTTTCCGTAGTGGCTGCACGAATTTACATAACCACCAACAGTGTGCAAGGGTTCCCCTTTCCCCACTTTCTTGCCAACCTTTTTTATCGTTTCTACCTTCTCTATCTTCAAAGAACTGTACAATCAAAAGCCTTTTTCAATTAACCTTTTTCTTCAAGTCAGCATTGCAAACCACCCCTCCCACCGAATTTCAACTTTATAAATAAAAGAAAGCTCCTCAGAGATATAGGAGCTTGTCAGTCGAAATTCAGTGGGCTAAAGTAGGTTTTATTTTACTGATAATTTTGGTCTACAGTATTTAAGCTTGCAAGAGAAAATAAGCTTTTGGACTTCTTCCGTACAATTTTTAATACAGAGGTAACAAGCCCTTTGCCTACGAAAAGAACTCTCCCATCCACCAAGTGAATAACACCTGGAATTCCACTAGCAACTGATGAACTGTTTCTTTCTCTATTGAAAGAAAAGGCTGAAAATGCAAATATCCTGGAGACAAGTAACATTTCCTACATTGTACTCATGCTCTCCTGCAAATTAATGATAGGAGAGTCTCTCCCAAAAGGAGGTTGGATATGGAGGAGAAGGAGAAAGCATAAGAGATCCGAGTGTTTAAACGGGGCGAGTGACAGGGAGGAGCCAGCCCTTCTCAGAAGGCAGCACCCGAGACCGGTTGCCCTGTTTCCCCTGGCCTGTTAGGAAGGATGGACCGTGGGAGTCACGTTTTATGCTGAATGTATGTTCTAAAGTCAGTGTGAAATCGCGTCCAGTAAAAATCACTTTTGAAAATCACTTTAATCTCCCATTAAATGCAGTTCTCTTCCATGTCTGAAGAAGTCCAGCATCACTGTGCTTCTTCAAGCTTTTCAAAAATGTTTATTTAATGGTTCATTTTTATTTTGGCTGTGCGGGGTCTCCGTGGCTGCTCTGGGGCGCCCTCTAGTGGCGGGAGCGGGAACTGCTCTCCCATTGCCGCTCGGGCTTCTGCTCTGGGGCTTCTCTCGTGGAGGCCGGGCTGCAGGCCTCCGTCGTGTGGCTCGCAGGCTTAGTTGCCCCGAGGCACATGGGATCTTCCTGGACCAGGGGTCGAACTGGTGTCTTCTGCAAGGCAAGGTGGATTCTCGACCACCAGACCCCCAGGGACGCCCTCTTTTTCAATCTTTACACAGACACACAGATTGCTACTTCTTTAGCCGAGTCCCATGGTTGTCTGCTTGCATTTGGAGACTGAGTGCATGAGAAATGCACACCCAGAAGTACATTTTTCTGCAGCCAGATACTCCAGAGTACAAGAAAAATGGTGTGTGTGGGGGCAGGGGGAGGGAGCTAAATCCAACTCAGAAAACAACAGATTTCCTTTCTTGTCTCACGCTTGTGCTGGGTCATATGTATTAGCGGTGGGGGTGGGGGTTACACACCATTTAAAATTGTTCTCTCAGTCCTTTCCGTATCTTCCTTTTTGGTCTAAGTGTCTGAACAGTCAACCGATGCCCAGCTCTTGGCCGCTGTAATCATCTCCCTCCACCACGCATGAGGACCTGAGTGAGGAGGGGGCAGAAAACCATTGTGAACGTTAGGGTATCCTGGATCCTTGGGTTCCAGATCAGAAAAGTGAGAGCAATTCAAGCAAATCACCAGCTGGAGCTTTTTCTCAAGTGACGTGTCAGGTGGATACCATAGCTTCCATTTTGATCATTTCTCCCTCTTCTTCTCAACAGGCTGGTCCATTCTGGTCCAGGAAAAGGATCACCCCAGGCTGGTGTGGATCTGTCTTTTGCAACGCGAACTGGTACTCAGCAGGGGATTGAAACACATCTCTTCAGGGCCGAGGTCAGCAGGGACCTCTCACACTGGACACGGAGCATAGTACAGGGGAGTCACAACTCGGCGGAGCTCACTGCGGAGGTCAGCACAGGTGCGCACCCGGCTTTGGGCTCCTGACGTCACAGCCTTATGGGAGGGGGCACCCTCCACTGCATCATGGCCTCATCGTAGATTCCATTACTGGCTCCTCTTGGGGTACTTAAAATTCCAGAGGTAAACTTAAATTTCAGAGATACATTTCAGATTCTTCTAAATGAAGACACTAGTAATGCCCTACTAAAATGGGACCTAGAAAGCAGTCCCTCTCGCCACATCTAGAGAAAGGCCAAGAGTAGCGATGAAGACCCAGTTCAGCCAAAAATTAATTAATTAATTAAACACTTTTTTAAAAGCTTAAAAAAGAACAGTGATGCCAGGCTTCTTGAGACATGGGAGAGAACTACACTTTATGGGAGATTAAAGGGATCTTCATGAGTGATTTTTACTGGATGTTATTAGTACATTTAGTAATGCTCTACTTGTCCAGTTCTAACTGTTGCTTCCTGACCTGCATATAGGTTTCTCAAGAGGCAGGTCAGGTGGTCTGGTATTCCCATCTCTTTCAGAATTTTCCACAGTTTGTGGTGATCCACACAGTCAAAGGCTTTGGCGTAGTCAATAAAGCAGAAGTAAATGTTTTTTTTTTCTGGAACTCTCTTGCTTTTTCAATGACACATCGGATGATGGAAATTTGATCTCTGGCTCCTCTGCCTTGTCTAAAACCAGCTTGAACATCTGGAAGTTCTCGATTCATGTATTGTTGAAGCCTGGCTTGGAGAATTTTGAGCATTACTTTACTAGTGTGTGAGATGAACTTAAAAGTAAATAAATAAAAGATGTGTTGCGCATCAACATGCAGCAGGGTTTCTCCTCATTTCCTTCATTTGTGCAAACATGAAAAACCAGATATTTTGTAGAATTTCTACTGCAGCATCTCTGAGATGATCAACATCTTTTAAAAACTATCCTGGGGCCTCCCTGGTGGCTCAGTGGTGAAGAATCTACCTGCCAATACAGGAGACATGGGTTCGATCCCTGGTCCAGGAAGAGTCCATATGCCAAGGAGCAACTGGGCCCATGCACCACAATTCCGAGCGTGCGCTCTGGAGTCTGGAGGACACAGTCCTGAGCCCCGTGCTGCACCTACTGAAGCCACGTGCCCACGAGCCTGTGCTCGGCAACAAGAGGCGTCCCGCAGTGAGAAGCGCGCACGCTGCCAGAAGGAGCCCCCTCGACAAGAGGCGCGCAGGCTGCAAGGCGGAGGAGCCCCGCTCACCGCAACTGAAGAAAAGCTGCACAGCCGCGAAGCCCCCGCACAGCCAGAAATCAATCAATCGATCAATCAATAAAGTTATTTTTCAAAGTTATCCTGAAGATGGTTAGTACTCCCAATATTTTCCAGCATTTTTGAAAATGTTTCTTGATGTGTCACTGAAGTTTTCATTTTTGGTACGTATTCTGTCTGGCAAGCAAAACTAGAGTTTTGAACCTGAGAAATGTTAAAGGCTCAAGTCACCTGAAAACGAAATTTCCTGAAGTTGTATGTGTGTTCACAGAGAAGTCCAGACTCCTAGCAGCAATCAGGAGTGTTCTAGGAAAGAACAAAGTGGCCAGAGGGGGTTGGTTTAGTTTACAGTCCACACATTTCATAAAATTCTCTCTATAAGCTGAAATCTACTTTGACAGAAAAACAATGAGGCTGTTGATTGACCAACCCAAGGAAAACAACAAAGAATTGTGCAGCGTGAGCGAGCAGAGCGGTGGGAGAGAAGAGTTATGGAAATAACCGAAGCCCAGTTTCAGATGCAAAGATGCCTGCAGGGAGCTGGAAGGAGGGGCTGACATTTTCCTCAGAGCCTCAGTTAGGTTGATAATGCGTTCAATTTATCCTGTGTAGATTAAGAGCGCCTTCAGATAACCGATTCCATTATCTCAAGGCCACAAATACCACTTTGGGTCAATTAGAATTAAAAGGAATCACGATCAGTTAATTAGACCATCCAGTGGCATAGCTTTAAAGTTCAAACATAGAGGAAAGGGGAAAAACACGTTTAGAGCCCAGTTGCCCACATTTTGCAACGTTAAACGGTGTCAAAAATGAAGATTCAAAGCAGGAAGCCGTGGATAGATGAACCTGTGCGTAGGGCAGGGACAGACACACGTGGAGAACATCCGTGTGGACACGGCGGCGGGGACTAGCTGGGAGAGCGGCTCTGAGACATGCGCGCGCGCGCGCGCACACACACACACACGCACACACACGCACACACGCACACGCACACACACACGACTGTGTGCACGCCGGGGCCGCTGACGCGCGCACGCACACACACACGCGCGCGCACGCACGCACACACGCACGCACGCGCACACACACACACACGCGACTGTGTGCACGCCGGGGCCGCTGAGAGCCTGCGCTCTGCTCACGGAGCTCAGCTGCGTGCCCTGCAGTCAGCCAGGCGGGTGGGATGCGGTTTGGGGGTCGGAGGAAGGCCTCAGAGGGAGGGGGTATGTGTGTGTATAACTGATTCACTGCATTGTACAGCAAGCAATAACGAATGTAAAGCAGTTATACTCCATTAAAACCAACGTAAAAAGATGGGACGCATCGCGGTGGCTGGGCTGCCTCCGCGCCGCGGGCTGGCCAGCCCTGAAGCGGACGGGCGGTGGAGACCCGGGCCCCCGAGAGGATGTGTGGGCGCTGCCACGGGCCTCTGCCCAGGACTCGCAGCTCCATTAGAGAAGCCGTCTTCGGAAAATGTCAACCCTTAGTTACAAGTTGAAAGATGGGCTTGAAAGGAAGGAGTATATGTTTTAACCAGTTAAAAGCCTCTTCGTTCTGAGAGCAGAGAGACAGCCTGTTTGTCCCACCGCCTTAAGACCCGGAGCGTCTCTCGCGGGATCCCTGTCCGGCCCCTCCGCATCCTGCGCCGGAGCGGGACGCCGAGCGGAGGGAAGGGCTGGATCCGGCATCGGAACCGCCGGGCTGGGGCGTGCTCGCCTCTCTGAGCTTCGCTTTTTTCACTCCTCGTCCTAAGCTTCCCAGGGGCGGTAGGGTGAGACTCATCCGGTTTATAAAGCTGAGTTAGCGATGGTGTAATCAATACTACCTGCATCTTTGCGCCTCCCTCAGAAAGGCGGTGTCTTGGTTTCCCTGAAGAGCTTTCAGATGTATATGAAGGCCAGAGCCAGTTGAGTTACCAGGGTCTGTTAAATGTGGTCTTTTGTAAGACAAACAAACAAAAAAATCCAATCTGCTCCTTAATCACCTTTCCCAGAACTCTCTGCTTTATTTTTGGGGCTGTGCGTTTTGAGGGATCTTATTTCCCCAACCAAGAATCGAACCCTTGGCCTGACAGGAGACCTAACCATCAGACTGCCAGGGAATTCCCTCCAGAACGCTTTGGTGAAGGGTTTTAACACTCACAGGTCTCCCTAACAGAAACTTGGAATCGGGAGGCAGGCCCGCTGCTCTTAATCGGAAAGGGCTGATGTCTTTTCCTAAAGGCAGCGTGGGCCACGGATGAGTGCTGGCACCTGACCTGACCGGGAAGGTTCTGTTGTTCTCTGGGATGGGGGGGCGCCTGCGCACAGCAGGCGAGGCTGACTGCACCCTGGGCGGTGGGGGACGCGGCTCCTTCTAGAAGCTGCTCCTTTGCACCGCGATCTGCAGCAGCGGCTTCTCCAGGACCCACGATGATCGGATCATCAGGGAAATTCCAAAAGCTCGCCTTTCTGTTTATAAAAGGAGCTTTGACTTTTTTAAATGAAAACTCAGGTTGGTTTTTAACAGCTCGCTGCTGGCTTCCTACATGTGTTTTTGTTAACTTGGGTAATGTCACTGGGGGAGTGATTGCTTCTTTGATTGGGTGACAGGTGCTGCATTAATTGATTGATGATTGATTCATTTATAGATTGCGTGTGCGTGTGTGTGTGTGTGTATGATGATGAAGACAACGATCAGAGGTAGCTTACTCTAAATAAAAAATGTCAGGGACTTCTCTGGTGGTTCAGTGGCTAAGGATCTGCCTTGCAATGCAGGGACTCAGGTTCCATCCCTGGTTTGGGAACTAAGACCCCACATCCCTGGGGGCCACTGAGCCCCCATGCCAGAACAGAGAGAAGCCCCCCGGCTACAGAGAAGACCCCTCATGCTGCAATGAAGACCCAGTGCAGCCAAATACATGGTTTTTTTAGGGTCAGTTCTTTCTCCAGCTGGAGACAGGACCATTGGAACACCTGTCTCCCTAGATACAAATCAGATGATTACATTAGGGCTAAAGCCCAGATAAAATGCAGTTAATCTCAACAAAAGGAATTTCTTTCTGTTTATTTCCCTTCATTTCACGGGACAAGTTAAATGACAATATCATAATCTAAGGAGAATACTTTCATGCACATTATTAATTTTTAACTTTAGAAGGCAGCTCTGTGGCTGGGCCTGGGGGTGGGGAGGTGAGGTTAAGCGCCAGGGAGAAGGGACGCCCTTCCACTGCTCATTACTCACCCTTCCTTCTCTGTCTTTCTCTCAGCTTGCACCTACAAAAACCAGGAGTGCCGGCTGACCATACATTATGAGAATGGATTTTCGATTACCACTGAACCACAGGAGGGGGCCTTCCCCAAGACAATCATACAGGCTCCTTATGAAAAGCTGAAAATGTCTTCAGATGATGGAATCAGGATGCTGTATTTAGATTTTGGAGGCAAAGATGGAGAGCTTGTGAGTACACTTTTCTTTAGACTGTGATTTCGTGTGTTTCATGTATGTGCAACTCACCCATACCGGCTCGCAAACACAATACTGCCTTTTATTTATTTAACATTTGATTATTAACAAAGTATTTACAGGTTCATGTCTTAATGGATGCTTGCAAAATAGTGATGGCATCCAATTTTTTCAGCCCTTTACTTTGGTCTCATTTGAATATTACAGAAATATTTGAGTCAAAGGAAAGGATCCTTTATATAGTCAGCATTCAATTCTTCTCAGAGAGCTCCCCACCACCGTCAAAATGTACCATTCATTGTTCAAAAGCATCTGATCTAAACTGGGCGTTGTGCGAGGTGTCAGGGACACACGGATGTAAAATGCCGGTCCTGCCCATGGTCTCCGAGGTCTCAGGAGTGCAGAAGGTGAACAGCCCAGAGGGGAAGGGGCAGCCAGGAAACCCAGCAGTGCTGGTCAGCCCCCCCACGCAGAGAGAGGACCAGACAAGGACCGGGAACTGGGAGCTCGTCAGGAGGCATCCAGCAAAACCAGTGACTTTGTCAGTCAGGGTGACATACTTCTTCTATCACTGCAGATTGCCCATGTGTTTAAAATCATGATTTCCTCCGATGTTACCGACTACCATAATGAAAAAATACATCACTCTACTTCCTCTGAAGAGTGGAAGTCACACTTGCCTCCACTTTCTAGCAAGGGTAGTTCTCAGGAAGACACGGCATCTCTTAAGCCGTGGAACATAGAGCTGCAAAAAAGGACTTTGATTTGGAAAAGCCGGTCTCAGTCTAGGTCCTTCCTAGTCACTGGCTTAGTCAGCAAATATTTATTGACTCATACTTGATAACCTAGATGGGCGTGGATACATAAACTGCAGAGACAGATCTCTAACAATAAGACCCAGTCATTGCAACTCAGCTCTTGGGCTTGCGTGACTCTCCCGCCCTCCCTCGGGCTTCCCTGGCGGCTCACTGGTGAAGAATCCGCCTGAAGTGCAAGAGCCTTAGGAGGCAGGGGTTCCGTCCCTGGGTCAGGAGGTCCCTGGAGGAGGGCACGGCAACCCGCTCCAGTGTTCCTGCCTGGAGGATCCCACGGACAGGGGAGCCTGGCAGGCTGCAGTCCACGGGGTCACACAGAGTGGGGCACGACTGAGCGCCCCTCCCGCCCCCGCTCCCGTCTCTCGGAAGGAAAGGCCACACTTCAAAGAGCATGCTAAGCCCACGCTCCGCAACTGAGACCCGCTGCAGCCGAAGTAAATAACTAAAAATTAAAGAAAGGGCTTCTATGGGTACTGAGTCGCTTCAGTCGTGTCCGACTCTGCGACCCCGCGGACTGTAGCCCGCCTGGCTCCTCTGTCCACGGGCTTCTCCAGGCAGGAACACTGGAGCGGGTTGCCACTCCCTCCGCCAGGAGATCTTGTACATATATGTACATATGTGTATAGCCGAGTCATTTTGCTGTACAACAGGAATTAACAACACTGTAGTCAACTATACTTCAATAAAAAGAAAAATTAAAAATGAGATTAAAAAAAGAATTAGGAGCAACACAGTGCTCTTGAACTAGGTCAGATTAAAAACTCAGCCTGTTAGGCCTGACCTTGTGCCGGCTCTATAGGGACGCACAGGGAAAAGCCGCCTTCAGGAGCCTCAGCAGACAGTGCTGGAGGCGCTTACGACTCCACGAGCTGTGAGGACGCGGCTGCACGCAGTGTGGCTTCTGTATTTTCTGGTTTGCGAGGGATTTCCACCTGCGGTGTCTCATTTTAATACTCTGCCCTGCAAGTTAGGTTGGACTGAGAATACTTTTAAATGAATTGTCCAAGATTATGTACATACCTGAAAAGTGTTAGAACCAGGACTCAGATCTACGATGGGAAACTTAGCACTGCCTCATGCTGTACCTCATCCAACATAAATAATCGTGATACCAAAAATAAAAGGTTGAGACAGTCAAGAGCAGCACTGATATGTACGCTATTGGTTTGTATAAATTTCACAGAACTTGTTTTGGGAAATAAGATATATGAGATGTAAGGAGTAAGTTCAAAGAGTTGGTTTTTTTTAATCTCATTGGGGGGCAAGGATTTAAAAACACAGTTGCTCCAGTTAACACTTAAAAGCAGGAAGTGCTTGGCTCTGTTTGATGTGTAAATCAGTATTTTGTGTCAAGCATTCATTTAAAATTTTTCCTGTTCTCTTCTTTTTAAATTTCAGCAACTGGACCTGCACTCCTGCCCCAAGCCGATTGTCTTCATCCTTCATTCCTTCCTGTCAGCTAAGATCACAAGACTGGGGCTGGTGGCCTGAGCAGAGGGGCGAATGACCTCTGAGCAGAGGCGGCTTCGGCACCCCCAGGACAGCGTCGTGTCGGACAGCATCCGCAGTGACCGCCAGGCGCAGCACATCAGCTTCAGACCCCGAGCCCCGAGTAGCAGCGTCCAGCTTCCCCGTCAGTTTCCGCAGCTACAAAGGGTACCCTCAGAAAACACAGCGAGGACTCTGAGTGGAACTGTTTTTTAGCGCAGTAAAAGGGTAGAGAGGTGAGGCTGATTGGAAACACACAGCATAGCTCTTAGATAATGACAATCAAGGACTTGCTACTGAAACAGCATGTGCGGCTCTTAACCATACAGCTTCTAGGCAACTGGTTCACCCGCTAAGCCAGGGCTGAACAGATGAGAAAAGGATGTTTCCCACCTCCCCCTTCCCCACCCCAGGAGTAAGGACCCCTGGTTTTACTGTGCTCTATTTCCTACTTCTGAGTTGACTTCACTGGTAAGGAAAGTACTCAAATGGAAAGCCACCTTTTATTTAAGTATGAAACATCTGTTACTTTTTCTTAATGAATTACCTTTCAGTGATGTAGGATGATTCCGCAGTGTTCTTGTGAGCATATGATGAGTGGGAATTAACGCATCAGATACTTAGCTGTAAGCCAGTAGATTCTGAGCCAGAGTAGACTGCTTAAATTGCAAAGCTTTGCTGAAGAGTGGTTTGCGTGAAAGAATTAGTTCTGGGACTACACTCATACCAAGGCCTGCTATTTTAGAGCCATGACTTAGAGCTTTATTTATAGAAAGCAAATTATGGATTTTTTAAAAAAAAGATTGTCATTTGAGAGAGATATATATAATAATTCACGGCAGGTTAACTAACTATACCCATTTTGTGGTTTTCAGTGGAAGTGCTGAGCAATGTATTGGCCCTTATTTCTGCCTGTGCTGTATGCATGCATTTTCAAGCAAGTAATAGAGCCTTATATGATTCTGTTTAATGCTGGGTTTTACATAGAGAGCCAGTGTTATAACCAAACCCATGAATAGCACTCTCAGCTCTTTTGGAATTCCAGGGAAATAATATAATGACCTGATATTTTTCTACAAGAATATTTTCAGACAGCATAGTGAAGTCGCTCCGTGGTGTCCGACTCTTTGTGACCCCACGGACTGTAGCCCACTAGGCTCCTCTGTCCATGGGATTTTCCAGGCAAGAATACTGGAGTGGGCTGCCAACTCCGTCTCTAGAGGATCTTCCCGACCCAGGGATCGAACCCGGGTCTCCTGCATCGCAGGCAGACGCTTCACCGTCTGAGGCGCCAGGGAAGTCCCCGATAGCACAGTCTTATTGATTTAACACTTTTATCTTTCAAAACACGTTCACTGAAAACAACCTGTTATTTGCTTTTAAAGTCATTTTCCTCAAATCTTGAAAAGTAGCTCTAGAATTTCCATATTTGCAACACTTCTCTCCTCTGTAGAGGAGACAAATGTTCCAGGTTAGATTTGTGTCTTTTCAGAGAGCTTTAAAAAGTGATTTTGTTCACTCAGATACATGTGTTTATGGGGTTTTACTTTAGACCAGCATTTTATTTTAGATAGGTGTTTCCCCAGAGTAAGATAAGTAACATTAATTCAAGTTCCAAAGGGTATTGACTGAATGGTATTTTGTGTAGAGGGAAATAAAAGGGTTAGTAATCAAAAACTGTTACATACGGCATTAAAAAATGTTAAGAGTTCATGGTTGCAGCCCTCTTCAAAGACTTTATTGTACATTGCAATTCTGCAGGGGAAATGATCCTAACACACAGGGATGATCCTATGTCATTCCTAACACATCTACAGAACTACTTTCTAAGACATCTTATGAAACTAGTGTTTAAACACACACACACACAACAATCACTTTGGAAAACATAGCTTTAACACTGATTTTGTTTTGTTTCCTATTTTAAAATGCTGAAGAGTGAAGTCCCAGCCTCAGTGTTGTAGGAAAGCTATGATGCATCTGTAAATTGTAACACACTCTTTCATGATATATTTTCAAAATCACTGGAATGTTGTTATACAAGAGAACTAGTGTATTGTAAATAACATGAAAATACAGATATTAATGCCAATAGTTTAATTCAACTATGTAATCTAAGGTGCTCAGTACCACATGAAGTGTGAGTTAATTACTCATAATTAAGTTGCAAAGATCTTATTATATATTTATAGACATTAAAATGATCATAATTACAAATACTGTTTCTTCATCACTTGAGTTTTAGACTGATTAATATCTGGGTGGGGGTCAAAAGAAACTACATTCTCTGCATTTATAAAAGTTTAATTTAAATATTTATATTTTAGAAAAATATATTTGAATAAAATCAATGCATTTTCTGAATTAAAATATTAGTAAGAAATAGCAAGAATAGAAATAAGAATTGTGTATATAAATCATTTTTCTTCCTCAAAATTAAACTGTATATCAGAGTAGCTATGATGAATCAATTCAAATATTCATCTTTCCTTCTTCAATTCAAATTCAACCAGTTACTGCTTCACACTGTAGATTCTAATCTTGTCTTGAGGTGTGTTATGAGTGATGTGAGTAACACAGACTCGTATGTCTGGATCATACCTGGGTGCGGAGAACAAGTCAACTGTCATTTTGGGGGATTTGTTTTTGTCCAGTTGCTCTGTGATCAATCTGTCTCATGTTTGAACTGATGAGTTATTAAATTCACAATGTCTGTTCTTTTAGGTGCAAACTAACCTAATGAATGATGTCTTAAACTAGACCTTGAGGGAAGCTGCCCAACTGTTAATTAGGTGAGCCCTGTGGTGTGGTGACAGATCTCTAAATCATCCCATGGGAATTTAAAGAAACCCAACAGGAATGCAGATATCAAGTTTCTTTTTCTGACTTGACTAAGTAGGAGAAACAAAACTATAAATCTATTTTAAAAACCATTCAGGCAGAGACATTTAATTAATTGTATCAATTGATGCACTCAAGTGCTAAAAAAGAAAATGCATGTTGCTTTGTCCAAAAGCTTGTTGACCCTGCTTGGTTGAAGTTAGAAGGAACGCTCTTAATGGGCAGGAGTCCTCTACAATTAATGAGTGGGGGCCTTTCTGGCCCTTGTTTTACAGATATTAAACATTCTCTCTTGAGGGGACTGGAGTGGACTGGGGTGAGGAAGTGATTTATGAATGTACCATGAGTTTATAAAAATGTGCCTATGTTTATAGCACTGTGGCTATCCTGTAAAATTTATATATGAATTAAATAAATATTCACCTCTGCGTACGCTGGGCTGGCCAGTGCATTTCCTTAATAGCCACACAGGGATATGGGAGCATAAAGACACATCTTGCTGATCTCTTCCTCCAAGATTGGCCTAGAAAGGTGCTAACAGTGCGGGTGGGGGTGCCACTAGCTGTTTTTGTGTGTACAGTTTCATGTTGCATCTTCACCTGGGGCTTAGGGCTTTCAAGTCTCATTTTAACTACATTTTCATGGAATTTTATCTATACACCAAGCTCCAAATACTCAAATTCTCTTTACTACCATAACTTGGTTTGTGTTCAAGTTACCTGTAATAAATACAACAGGCTGGGGTTAAGAAGTCTTCTACTATTTGAAAACCGGAAAAAATATGTATAAATCATAGATAAGGGACTAGGATACAGAAACTATAAAGAACTCTTACAACTCAACAATAAAAAGAGAAATAATCCCACTGAGAAGTCCTTAAGAAAGGATCTGGTGGACATTTCCCCGAAGGAAAATATCCAACTGGCCAATAAGTGCATGAAACGATGCCCAACATCGTTACTCTCCAGAGAAACGCAAGTCAGAGCCATGATGAGACATCGCCTCACACTTCCTGTCAGCTGTCAGAAGATAAATACTGACAAGAATTAGCAAGGAGGTGGAGAATTGGAGCTGCTGATGGAAAAGTCAAATGGTATAGCTGATGTGGAAAACAGTCTGCCATTTTCTCAAAAATTAAACAGTTACTACACAGTCCAGCAGTTCCACTCCTAGGCATACATCCAAGGTAATGGAAAATATATGTGCCAAAACTTGTACACAAACGTCCACAGTAGCAGTATTCATGATAGCCCAAAGGGGGAATCAGCCCAGTGTCCATCGACTGATGAATGGATAAACAACTGTGACAGGTTCATACAATGACATGCGGATTCATGCTACAACACGGGTCAGCCCTGAACACCACCTCATGCAGAGAACCTGCCTGCCAAAGACAAGACATGGGTTCCATCCCTGGGTCAGGAAGATCCCCTGGAGGAGGGAATGGCAACCCACTCGAGTATCCTTGCCTGGAAAATGCCACAGACAGAGGAGCCTGGAGGGCTGCAGTCCAGAGTCTGAGACTAAACAAGTAAGAGAGGCCAGATACAGAAGACCACACACTGTACCAGTCCCTATCTGTCCAACATCCAGAACAGGCAAGCCCAGAGAACAGAGGAAACGCCTGCCTGCCAGGGGTGAACGGAAATGACTGCTCACAGATACGGAATTTCTGCTGGGGTAATGGAAATGTGCGGGAATTAGACGGTGGTGGTGATCACACACCTTGTGGATACACTAAAACCTACTGGATCATATACCATAAGGGGTGAATTCCATAATGTGTGAATCACATCGCCAGTAAAGATAAAACTTGTGGGCTTTCTGTGTATCCAAAGTTAGTCTAGTCTAACCCATGAAAACCGCATCCACCAGAGAGGGCCTCCTTGGCTGTCGGAGTGCTGTGGGCAACACCCCTAAGAGTCATAAAGGTCGTTTTGTCTTGCTGAAAGGGTCTACTGAAAGTATTCCTAAGGCTTGAATGAAGCGATTTATCACTGCACCTTTGGTTTGATCTTGAGGCTATTACTTACTTGGAGAACCTTTTGCCACTGGAGATGAAGTGGGAAAACATTTCATTTTCCAATCCAGGATGTTCCAAGTCTTCAGTATCTCCCAAAATGCTGCTAGAAAACCGGACAGTCTCTCCTCTAGTTGATCTATCTCATCCTGTGCCTTTATGGTTTTCAGCCAAATAAGCAAACAGATGACTCATGGACACTTTCAACATTGTTTGGAACCAACCTTAAATAGATCCGTGAGTTCATCTGGTACTTCTCTCCTCCAGGCTGTATGTGTGTGCTTGGTCCCTCAGTCGCGTCTGACGCTGCGACAGGCAGGAACGCTGGAGTGGGTTGCCATTCCCTTCTCTAGGGAATCTCGCCCACCCAGGAATCGAACCTGGGTCTCCTGCACTGCAAGCAGATTCTTTACCGTCTGAGCCACAAGGAAGCCAGCTTCTCTTTCCCGGGTGATGTACCCAACAATTTTCCCAAACACGCCAGCACTGTGGGACAGGCTGAGCTGGCCTGGCCCTGTGGCTCCCTTTTTCTCTAAGGCCCTCACAAGGAGAGGACGTTCTAGGCGTTACTCCCAGCACAGGCATCACCGTCAGAACAGCAACGCCTGCGCTCTGCTCCGTCCTCCCTCCTGTCTGCCCTCCGAGGTCCCGCACACGGGTGTCCTAGAGACAGACAGGCCCGGTCGGCGGGGCCTCTCCTAGACACAGGCGCACGGCACGCGCAGCTGGCTTCGGCCCCGCCTGCAGCTTCTCCCATGAGTTCAGTCCGTGCCAGAAACGGACCCGAAGTCTCTGGGCCTTTCAGGGATCGCTCCTGCGTACCTGCTTTCACATTTATCTCAAATACCTTAAGTCACTGTTTACTTTGAAGCATTTTTGTGGTGCTGGTTCAGTGGCTAACTCGTGTCCGACTCTCGTGACCCCGTGGACTGCGGCCTGCCAGGCTCCTCTGTCCATGGGATTCTCCAGGCAAGAACACTGGAGTGGGTTGCCATTTCCAGTATTTTTACAGAACATTCACAAAAGTTAGTAAGTATGAGCACAGCATTGAAGTGAAGGTGACACAGTATACTCAGACACCCACAGATTCCACTCTGAAAGAGCTATACTAAGGAGTAACCAGTGATGCACCAGAAATATTCATTTAAGTTTCATTTACAATAAGGAAACATTAAACTCATACGTCCAACAATGCAGGAGTAGTTAACTAAACTGATTCATTTGAATCATGCAGTTATTAATGATATGATATAAAATGACATGATATATTATTGTTATACCACATTGTTAAGTGAAAAGCAGGCTATAAATTAATATACATACATATCACACATACTAATACACATACATAAACACACACATATGACTGCAATTTTGAAAATAAATATAATGTTGAAAAATATTAAATACCTGTAGACAGAACAGTTTTGGAATTTTTTCCATTCTCCTTAGTATTTTGCACATTTTCCAAATTTACTGTCATGGGAAAAGATGTTTTTTTTTCTGGGAGTAGGTACTTAAGTCATTTTCACTACGTCTTATTTTCACAATTTTTCCTCTGTTTTTCATCCCAAATAAACATAAACAGCTCCAACAGCAGTGGCCCCCGGGGAAGGGGTAAGGGAACATGACTAAGTATATGAATTTTTTTGCCAATATTTTCTAAACCAAGGGTCATCCAATAAATCAAGCTGTTGTAACACATGAGAAAAGCCACTGGCAATGTCTTTCTTAAGACTCAGCAGTTTAAATATACCTAACAACAAAGACATTTACCAAGAAGTAAAGAAATATCTTTTTCTATTTATTGAAATAATTAAATAACCAAGAGTAAAATTTTTAAACATATATATAAAAATATTAACTTTAAAAATTAAAATATAGTAAAACTATAAGTATACAAATTAAAGTTACATTAACTGAGCAACGTTAAAACTATAAAAATACAGGGTATTTATGAAATTCCTTAGAAATGGAACATTAATTCTTTGAATAAAGTTTGAAATTTGTAATTTTCAAACTAAAGAAGAGCTTCATCCAATTTATAATCATCGAAAGGGAATGATTCTGTGTTATTTCTTGCTTGCTTTTTCTAAGACCCATTCAATCACCTACGGGGAGAAAAAATATGATTATGGTACATTCTTTTGAAAACAAAAGCAACAGACAAATACATTGTTTAAAAGAGTATGGTAGAAAATTTAAGACAAAAAATAACACATCAGACTCTTCAAAATAATTTCATCTAAAAAACACACTTTACTAGTGGGGAAGGGGAGGGGGAGAGGCAATGCAGCAGGAGGAGACTAAGAAGCACAAACTGTCGAGTATAAAATAAGCTACAAGGATGCCCTGTACTGTGCAGGGCATATAGCCAAAATTTTACAGGAACTGAGTGGAGTATAACCTTTAAAAACTGTGAATCGCTGTATTGTACACCTGTAACCTATATAATATTATACATCAACTATATTTTAATTTTAAAAAAGGATTATCAAACACAAAAAAATCAATATAGCATTTACCTCTAGAGGTGATGGAGTAAGATATGGTGGGGAAGAGACTCTTTGGGGCTTCCAGGGTTCCTGAAATGTTTTATTTCTCAGCCTGAATAGTGATCCCAAGGATTTTCTCTTTTAAATTGTGTTTCTTTGCATATGTATTTACATATTATATCAAGAATTTTTAAACCGAAAAAAAATCACACATTTTATTTTCTTGCTAAAGAACATTTTTTGGTGAACTTACGTTGCAGAATACAACCGTAGTGTTTCTCACTGGACAAAATGAAGACACTGCTCTATTTCCTCACCTTCATTTGAAAATATGTTTTTAAAGGATCACTAAAAATAGAATTAAACCAAGCTTTGAAAACAGCTAATCAAAATGGATTAATTTTTCCAGCTCTTTGGATTATTCTTTTTCTTTCTGAACATTAATTTAGAAGCTCTTTTGTTAAAAGAGAAATCTCTTAAATACTACTAAAGACCCTACTTACGTAAGTCCATTATTAACTCTTTTAACGAGTGGTCACAGGGACACAGTGGAAAAGACCACTCACTAATTCTCACTGCTTATATTATAGCCTCCTAGCTACCCTGAAACAAAACAGCAACTTAACTGAATGCACTTTCACAGGAACATTTACCTGTACAACATTGTTGTTTGTTGTTTTTTTCATTTCTTCAAATAGACCCCTTGAAGTTTTAAGATCCTAAACATAACAAAAACAGAGCATTTCAAATCTATTCATTAAATTACAAAGAACAAGTCATTATTAAATAAACCTGACATGATCCTAAATCATTCTATAACGATCAATGTGAAGAGGGAGAAATCACAGTAAGAGATTATCATTTAATTCCATCCTGGAAGGTCAAAGTTCTCTAGCCAAAATACACCCATCTGTACATAAGTCCATGCTGCTCTGAGCTCATAAACCCAACAGCAGCGGCCAGACCCGTGCCCATCCTCAGCCGTGCACACGGCTCAGGCGTGTCTGACTCTGCCACCCCATGGACTGCAGCCCAGACTCCACTGTCCACGGGGTTCTCCCGGCGAGTTCACTGCAGTGGGCTGCCATTTCCTTCTCCATCGCTGGCGGTGTGTACCCACTAATGCTTCACTGCTCAGGAGATGGACATACAATTTATGTTTATTTTTCAGATAAAACAGCTTTCACCTCTTTCTTCTTACTGGCTATTTCACTCCACACACAGAGGGGATGACACCGGACATAAAACTGAAGTCTCTGACTTTTAAAAAGTTAATGACCTATGACAAATTAAATCATAAAATTTTAAAAATTCACTTGTATTAAAAAAAAAGCTGTCCTCTGCTGTGCTTCCAAGTTATGCTCCATCGAAGGAGTCACTTCCTTCTTTCTCCTGCTTCTCTTATTTATACCTTCCCGTCTCTAAACAGCATGCTTATTACTGCTGCTGTGTGTTAACAGTTTCAGACAGTGACTGCTGTTACGCTGGACTCAGGTCTCTGAATCCTCCCACTTCCCTTTGCTTCCTCTCAGGAACAGCTGCACCACAATTTTTTTTTAAATTAGTAAACAGTCAATGTTTGCATTTTATACTTAAGCAAATAAAGTTTACTCCCAAGCTAAGTAACACATTGTGGTTGTAATTTCTCTCTAACCTAATGTTTTGTTTATCCTGTGGTTGAACTATATTTGCTTAGCTTTCCCCTCACCCCCATAACTCTGATTAAAGACTGATTAAATGGACAGCAAAGTTCTTCAAACTCTCTCGGATACTGGATAATCTCCCCTTTCAGCTTTTTCATTTCTGTGTTGGTTTTCTTAACTGCCTTCTTTAAAAACTGGAGCCCCTTCTCCCGTAGCCTGCTACAGTTTGGTTCAGCTGCTTCCTGGACCTGGTTCCCAGTGGGACACACCTTCCCCGTCTGGGTAGCTTTTTTTTTATTTCTTGATTCAGCCCCTTGTTCTACTGAATTTCATCTTCTCACAAATTCATCAAAAGGGTACATGAGTGACAAGATTTTCAGACCTTCTGTGTCTGAAAGTATCTCTACTGAATCTTCATACGTGACTGACTTCTATGTGTGTTAGTCACTCAGTTGTGTCTGACTCTTTGCGACCCCATGGACTGCAGCTCACCAGGCCCCTCTGTCCATGGAACTCTCCAGGCAAGAACACCAGGGTGGGTTGCCATTCCCTTCTCCAGGGGATCTTCCCAACCCAGGGACTGAAACTGGGTCTCCTGCACTGTCTGAGCCACCGGAGAAGCCCTGTGACTGACTTCTGGGCCAGATATAAAAATACCAGGTAACTCACGTTCCTTCAGAATGTGAAGATGATGTTCTACCGTCTGGCATACAAGGCTACTAGAAAAGTCCAATGCCAACCTTATCCTTGAATCTTTATCTCAACCACTTCTGTCCCGGGAACCTTTCACGGAATGCTCTCTCTCCCCCAGGAGATGGGATCTTCCACAGTGACGGGGCTTGTAGAACTGCCAGCCACCAGGCGGGATGAGCTGTGTGCCCTTTCCAGCAGGAGGTTTGCATCCTCCAGTCTGGAATGTCTTGTCTATTTTTGAAGGTTTTCTCTCCTCTCATCTCTATTATGAGCATAATGGATCTTTCAGATAATTCCCCCATTTTCTTACCTCATGTTTAATGTTTTTGTCCTCAGTTTTGTTAGCAATACTAATTTCTGGCAAATTTCTTACTCTCATGGTTGACAATTACAGTGATTTTACTGTACTTTTAAGGCGATTTCATGCTCTATAGTTTTGGGAAACAGCATCACATTCCAGTTTTGTACATGCAATTGTCTTCTTCCTGAGATACCCAGTTTTTATGACGTTCTCTTCAGGTTTCTGCTCCTTCCGAGTCCCCTTTGCTCTTTTATGTTCTGACGTCTGCTGTGTTAGAAGCTTTCCTCAGAATTCTGCTGAGTCTTGGCTGTCTGGTCACACAGACATTTTAAAATTGTTTCCGCTGCAGCACACAGCACGTGGGATCTTAGTTCCCCATCCAGGGATCGAACCCATGCTCCCTGGAGCAGAAGCACAGAGTCTTAGCCACCGGGCTTCCAGGGACGTCCCTGTCCAGTCATATTTTAAAATGAGACAACAAAAATCTCACTGGAAGCTCTGTGTGTGCAGAGCTTATCCACTGGCACCTTTATAAAGCAGGGGAATAAGAGGTCGTTGGCCTTTGCGCTGCGGCCTCCCATGCGTTTCTCCTCCACAGACTTTTTCCCGCACCGTCTCAGGAGAGCAAAGCCGTGGGCAATACAGCCATCCGCAGCGAACGGTGGGGAAAGGCGTGCAGAGCAGGTTGAAGGCTCCCCGCTCTCTCTGCGGACCTCTCTCTAACTCCCGCTTTTCGTGGCACTCTGCCCCTGCCTTCCAGGACACCTGGCGCCCGCAGGCTCCGAGCAGGTCCGAGGCCGGGCTGGGTCTGGACTCTCAGCCCCAGGCGGGCACTGAGGCTGCCACTGCCGCTCAGCCACCCATGCGTCCACATGCTTCCTGCTCCCACAGCATATGAAAACACCGCTACGCTTTTCCTTTCTTCTTTTCTCGGCTTTTGTACTTTCAATACTGTCTTTCTTGAGAGATTTTACAAGGGAACTGAATGTGTTTCATCTGTGGTCCATCTGCAGTTTTAATCAAAAACCCATGTAAAACTGTGGCTCAAGTCAGAAACGGAAAACTGGAGCAAATCTAACACCACCCAAGTTTTACAAAACAGCTCTCTGAAAGGACGGTTTGTCCGTCCTACAATAAGCTATTAGTGGATCCAGAATTAGACATTGGATGTTTTGATACTTCATCAGGTAGCTTCACTATATACTAAAATTACCTGAGTACATTAAATAAAATAAGCTGAAGCCTATTATCAACTTAAGTCAATGACCTGTTAGGGAAACACTGAGAGTATCAGTTAAGGTATAGTTTTCTATATATGAGACCTAACATCAACCATAACATATTTTGACTCCAATTTTTCTACCTCCATTAAAAAACATGGCAATAAGTTGTCAGTGTAAAAAATACTCAGTTAATATTATCTTGAGTCAAATAGGAACATTAGAACTTGGCCTGGATTTTGCCAACAGTACAGAAGACACTATACCTTTAGGTAGAACTTGGAGATCTCAAAGAGACGCTGGCTGCAAGCAGCAAAACATTCGTGAGCCTCCGTAATCCTGTGCTTCTTCAGGGCTTCAGCAACTACTTCTTTCAGTATCTTGAATAGAACATAACATGACTAATATTTCTTGGAAGAGGTACAAACATATTATTTCAGCTTTAGAGCCGAGTTCTGTAAATCACACAGCCATGTAGCTATGCTAAAGATAGATAAGCTCATTAAGACCAAACCACTGAGAAGAGATTTGAAACAGTGACACACTCAGGCGTCACAGAGTGTCTGTCAGGCAGAGAGGATTCAAGCATCCGGAGAGAGGAGCTCATGTGCTGAGTTCTGAATCGGCATCAGAATGGGAACGGTACACACGGCAGGGATATGTATATACAGGTGTGTCCTTATTTTTTATTATGGAAAATTTCAAACACTATAAAGAGAATATTTTGTAACAAATCCTTCTCTCTCTCTATATATATATGTATATATCAGGACTACATATAAGAGCTGGTGTTATATATATATATATGTCATATTTATAAATATATTTACATAAACAAATATAATTATGATTGAAATTATATATTATATAAATTATGTGTATATATATTATATATATGAACTATATATATGAGCTGGCTATATACATATATAAATATATATATATGAGGACTAATTTTATATAAGACCTTGCTATATATATATATATATATATATATATATATGGACTATGTATAAGAGGTGGTTATATATATATGAGGACTATTTATATAAGAGTTGGCTATATATATATAAATACATATATATGAGAACTATATATAAGAGCTGGCTATATATATATAAACACAAATATATGAAGACTATATGTAAGAGCTGGTTCTATATATATGATGAGTATTTATATAAGAGTTGGCTACATATATATAAATATATATATATGAGAACTATGCGTAAGAGCTGGTTATATATATGAGGACTATGTGTAAGAGCTGGTTATATATATGAGAACTATGTATAAGAGCTGGTTATATCTATAAATATATACAAGGAGGATCCCTCTGGGGCTCCTTCTGCTCCTTCACACCCCCACTCGAATGTTCCCATTACCCTTCTTTCACTGAACTATTATTATTACTATTCTGGCTGCACCACGGGGCAGGAACTCAGTTCCCAACCAAGGACTGAATCTGGATGAAATGAAATGAAAGCCTGGAATCCTCCCCAAAAGGCCACCAGGGAACTCCTTGGTATGATTTTAAAGTAAATTACAGACCACTTCACTTCATTCATAAACTTTTTTGACAGACATTTGAAACGAATCAAATAAGGACGTGTCTCCCCGTGCAGAACTGAGACAGGCAGGAAGCAGATCTCTACCCGCGTGTGCTTCTGTGATCGGGATTCTTTCGCGGGCCTTGCTGTTTCTGATCCACGCATAGCTTTTTGACCTGAACGGGCCTTGGCAGTGACTCCGGGAGTTTCACTGCTCAGAGCAGAGGGACACGTGACAGGTAACGGTCGCTCTGCCCGCGGTTTGCTGGATGGGACCTCATGGTGATGGCGAGCACTGCCACTTGTCTGAGAAAGAAGAGAATCTGAACTTCCAGATCTCACAAGTCTGTTGCAGGGGAAAGACCAAAACAGAGATTAAGGGAATCACCAATCACTTTCATGTTCTGTCCTCAACACTACAGCTATAACCATCGACATGTAAACCCCAGGAGAGCAAACAGTGTCTTGCTACTACTGCCTTAAATAAGCAAGCAACATGGCATCACACACTTGTTCTTCAAGTGAGAAATGAGAACAGAGAAGGCAGTGAATGATATTCCGGCATTTCAGCTCAGAGGAAAAGCAAGAAGCGATACTACTATCTCCCTCCCTGCCAGCTTGCAATTCCTCCCATAAACCAGAGACGGCACTCCAGGCAGTACTGCTCACAGACCTAGTACTCATCTGTTAAATAATTACACTTTTCTATTAAGTTAATTTTGATAAAGAAACCCTAATAATCGTGCTTGTCATAGCCATGCAACTACCTGTACAAGATAAGTTGTTAAGACAAAAAGAAATAACACTATAAAAGTGACTTTTGTTTCGATTTTTGTTAAGATGTTTAAATTTCTTTTTCTAAGAAACGGTCTCAGACTCTTCAATTCTGCTAACCTATAGGACACAGTGTTACTCTCTTTTCTAGAACACACAGAGATCAATCACAGTCAGAAATAAAAAAATTACTAAAAAACAGTATCCTAAATGCTAATGGATTTGCTTTTTAGTTACATCAGGTGAAAAAAGGATCATGAATTTGTAAAGTCCTTATAACAATAGTTATTTCGTATCAGGGAAACAGTATTCTAATATACAGATTTTTTCCTACACTGCAGGACACTCTAGCTAAGACTAGTGCAGGACTAAAGTTGCGCTCCCTGCACAGAAGTGTGGAGTCTTAACCACTGGACCACCAGGGAATCCTTAACACTTAACTGTTTAAAAGAAGACCTGACAGCTTCACTTTAAGATATCTGATACTTTTTGAAAGGCTTACATATGAGGTTTGTTTTAGGTGCCAAAGACCTAAATTTGACAAAAGTTCCAAAGATATATAAATGCAATAGAAATTAGACTGCTTATTTCATGAGCTTCTAATTTTTGTTCAAGTATTTGGATATTTAGCTAGCAAATAAAGTAGCTAGAATAATCTCATTTTTATAGTATTATTATGTAGGCTTTAAAGCTGTACTTTATACGAAACAAGTTGTTTTAAAATGGTACCAGTGGTTAGGACTCCGTGCTTTCACTGCCAAGGCCCGGATTCAATCATAAACCACAGTCCTGAAGCCCCTTGTTCAAGGGCCCAGTGCAGGTAGCAGACAGTGGGAGGAGGCAGAAAAACCGTACCCCTCAATATCCTCTTCAACAGAGCGTCTCAACTGCTCAATCTATGGAGAAGATCGCCAGTGTTCCATGGTTTAAAAACTTGACAATCCCTTGTGCCAATGGACTGTATATTAGCATTATAAAGCCAGAAAGAATGTGTTTTTCCCCAAGTCATTTCTTTTTATAACTTATAAGCATAATCATCAACTGCTCACAGCAGAAACAAACTCCTGGTATGAAAGTGTTACTCTAAAATCTACACAGAAAGCAACTTAAAAAATATGAATGATTAATATGAAAAAAAAATTACCCTAAGACTAAAACACTTTCCATCAAGATACCATTCTTATGCCCTTCATATATCACCTTTTGGGGGGATAAAGGCAAGTCAGGTCTTGTGATCTCCTTTTCCCTCGGGAGACGTCAGTCCGGAGCTCCCTCTGCAGAGCTTCTCCGTCAGGGACACTCGTGGGCTCTGACAAAAGTGCAGGAGATGGAAGAGGGCTGAGCACGGTGGGTCCTGGAGAACTCCCCCTGGTGCAGGTGGTCTGGGTTTCATAACGAATAAGACGGGACTGCAGCTCTGAAAATCCCCCGTCTCTCTCTAATGCCTTCCGGCCATCCAAGCAATACCTGAGCGAGAGAAAGATCTTTAACATCAAAGACTCTGCTGCACAATGGGCTATTTCCTGCCACCAGCAAAGAGCACAACATTTACTTAAAAAGTTCCTACAAAACTTCCTAATAATTGATGGGAGTGTGAGAGATTAACCAATTTCCCTCACATGTTCAGTTTTTTCCAGACTGCTACATGACATGGCAAAAGATTTAAAAAAAAAAGTGAGGTACAGTCTGATTCCTCTTTGACTGTTTCTGGGCAACAGATTAAGTTAATCTTCTGGCTTATTTTCAAAATAATATAGTTGCTGTTTTGATACTTTCTAAATCTCTACCAACCTCTGATTCCTCAGCACGGCTGATACGTAATGGTGTGAAATGCTGACTTCTATTGGAAAGGGCAAGTTTGTTCCCAACACAAAGATCAGGAGGGTGTAAAGGCATTCTAAACTGGCTCACCAAACACAGCTCGGAACACTTTGAAATTTCCCTCTGAAACTCACTTCCACCTTACTGACTGACTGACAAATTTTTCTTCAAAGTTTGGCTGTCTATGGATCTGGTTTCTAGCAAACTCTGATCTAAGACATCAGTGAAATGTTTGTTCAGTGAATGCTTCTGGACTTAAGAGTTCCTATGTTGTTAAGGACAACAAATAAGTTTATCAGGAAAGTCACCTATGAGACACATGACGTTAGAAAACCCTTCACTTTCTCCCTTCGTGCAATGTATCAAGGAAATGCAAACAGTGTCCCATACACAACGACAGGACTACAAACATCAAAGACTTTTTCTGTTACCTGAAATCTTGTAGATTCTAAGAAGTTCCTTAAATCAGAACTTTGGGTCTATAAGCTTTTAGTTCCATGTTTAAGGAGTGTATCATGACCCCAGTGTCTGACTGCCTGGGTTTTAAGGACTTTCTCTTTCCCTTGTGACATGTGTTTTGATTTCTAAGAGTATATACTAGAGAGCCAGACTCTCCAGATTTAAATCTGCCTCTACCATTGTGTGAACATGGCCAAACTACTTACTTTTATCTACACCACTGCTGCCTCCTCTGCAAAATGAGACTCACAGCAGCTACCTCAGGGCTACTGTGAAGACTCCATGAATGGACAGACACACGCAGTCAGCATCAGTGCCTGGAACCCGGCAGCGGAGCAGCCGGCAAACACACGCCGCTGCTGCCATCAGCACCACAGCGGTTTTCTCCTCTACCACAGCAAGCCTCACGGCACGCTAGCACCGCGAGCAGGCCCCGCGGGGCGACCTCAGAGTCTGACCTGAACCCATTCAGTATGTTAGCTTTCATGTAAAGGACAAGGATCACATTACTCAGGGGTCAACCCACACATGCACACTGGAATCACCTGAACAGCGTTCATGAGCTGCTAGTGCCCAGGGTTTCTGACTCAGCTGGTCTGGGGTTAGACTTCAGGACTGTCTTTTTAAAGCTACCTAGGTGATTCTAAAGTGTAGCTAGGACTGAAATAGCTCTGACATAACCCAACAATTTAACAGGGGAGAAAACTGGCATTGTTAACTTGTGGCAGAAAAGTGACTATTCTTCCTCTAGTCCGTTGTTAAATAAAACACATTTCATTAAAGATTAGCAGCAACCCTAGGAATTACTGACGAGTCCTATTTCTATCCTGGGCAACTGATAGAATCTAGAATACAACTAAGAACCACGAATGCTAAGGACAAGTTGTAGGCAGGAGGAAATGTAATCCCTGATTAGCCTACAGGAAATTTCTGAGAGGAAAAAAATGTACAGTTTGACTCCAAAAACAATTTTTCCTACTCTAAGATCTTGATTCTAAGATGCAGATTTTTTCCTTCCAGTTTTTCCTTCCAGTTTTAACATCTCTTGATCACAGTTGTTCATAGTGTCATGCCTCTAACTGCATTATGTGCACCGCCATGTTGACTTTAATTGCCATTTAAAATGTCTTCAAAGTGATTTTACTATGATTTGGCACTGAAGCAAGAAGTGACTTTGTCAATAAAAGGAACAGAACAGAGCAGCAGGAGCAGGGCGCACACTGGGTAACAGCAAGGAAGTATTCACTCTTGGATGAGTGAGTGCACGTCCATATTTTCTTGCAAAACAACAGCCAGATGCTTTCCGTATCCAGAGAAATACCTCAGACGATGAAGCTACCGCTGTACTAACGTATCAATACAAAATAGACAAGACACTGCTGAGCACACACCAAGCAATGCCGCTGAACACTGGAAAACTTCCCAACATCCTGGAACAGGCAAAAGAAAGCTGAACGCAACAAGAGGCCAGTGTGGCCGCCGAGCAGTCCGCTGGACGGCAGAATTTAGTTCACTGTGCTGTTCAGGACACGCTGCACCTTACAGTCAATGGGCTCTCACATTCCAGGATGAGAGAAATACGCGAAAAACGAGCCAACAGTAGACAGATTTCATTTTGCCTTTGGAAAACACTGATTTGCACTTGAACAGTTCATGTATTTCTTCCAAATATTCTTTAAGCCTGAATACAGGAAGAGCTCAAGGACTCTCAAGGGTCACAGCAACGTAAGAAGAGAGAGCACTCTCTGCATTTACTTTAAATTTCACTTAGCTTTCTTTAGAGTAGAAACATAATCTATGTTTAACTGAACAGGTCCACACAGTTTACACCCAGATCCTGAAAAAAGTGTGTTTGTGGATTCACTGTGCTCACTGCACATTCATGAGTTTGATTTCAATGGCCCAGGCTTAAAGAAATGGAGCCACAACAAGCTACGTTCACTTGCTTAAGGGGGTTTCATTTTTAAACTCCTCAAATTCGTATTTCAAGTTTTTTTTCCCCACAAACAAAAGTTCAATGTTGTTCCATGTACACGTGTTGCTCCCTGTTAGTTTAGTAGTACTGCATTATATACACACATCAGTTTATTTACTGATCTGTTCTCCTATTGATGGAAATAAGGCTATTTCCAGTTTGGGTTATTATGAATACAACTGCTCTGTGGGTTCTTTTACAAGTGTTTCTGTAGTGTTACATTTTCATTTCTCTTAGGAAAATGACTACTGGAAATGCTGAGCCATGGGGTCTATGTTCACTTTCATAAGAATCTGCAAGATCCTTTTCTGAACTAAATATACCATTTTATACTTCCACCAATAATGTTGAAGAGTTCTGATTGTTCTATATACTTGTCAGTGCTTATCAGTCTTTAATTTTAGTTATTCTGGTAGCTACATGGACTTTGATTTATGGATGCATTATAATTTATTGAACCAAGCTCCTACAGTTAGACATTATTTCCAGTGTTTATTTGAAATAACACTCTGAAAAGTACGCATGCAAAATTACTTTCGGTGTATACACTAATTTTATCACTGAGCCAAGGTAATCAATCTCATATTATAAAAAATTGCATGGCTTTTGGTAAATTACTGATCATTCTCTCTAATAATGCTAATTTAACTTATATGCAGAGTACATCATGAGAAACGCTGGGCTGGGAGAAGCACAAGCTGGAATCAAGATTGCCGGGAGAAATATCAATAACCTCAGTTATACAGATGACAGCACCCTTATGGCAAAAAGCAAAGAAGAACTAAAGAGCTTCTTGATGAAAGTGAAAGAGGAGAGAGAAAAAGTTGGCTTAAAGCTCAACATTCAGAAAACTAAGATCATGGCTTCCGGTCCCATCACTTCATGGGAAATAGATGGGGAAACAGTGGAAACAGTGGCAGACTTTATTTTTCTGGGCTCCAAAATCACTGCAGATGGTGACTGCAGCGATGAAATTAAAAGATGCTTACACCTTGGAAGGAAAGTTGTGATCAACCTAGACAGCATATTAAAAAGCAGAGACATTACTTTGCCAACAAAGGTCCATCTAGTCAAGGCTATGGTTTTTCCAGTGGTCATGTATGGATGTGATAGTTGGACTATAAAGAAAGCTGAGCACTAAAGAATTGATGCTTTTGAACTGTGGTGTTGGAGAAGACTCTCGAGAGTCCCTTGGACTGCAAGGAGATCCCACCAGTCCATCCTAAAGGAGATCAGTCCTGGGTGTTCACTGGAAGGACTGATGTTGAAGCTGAAATTCCAATACTTTGGCCACCTCATGCGGAGAGCTGACTCACTGGGAAAGACTCTGATGCTGGGAAAGATTGAGGGCAGGAGGAGAAGGGGATGACCGAGGATGAGATGGTTTGATGGCATCAGCAACTCAATGGACATGGGTTTGGGTGGACTCTGGGAGTTGGTGATGGACAGGGAGGCCTGGTGTGCTGCGATTCATGGGGTTGCAAAGAGTAGGACACGACTGAGCAACTGAACTGAAATGATCAGTCTCCCAGACAGGTAGCAGCAATTTAGACTCCAAGGTGGCTGGCTCATATTGCTTTACCACCAATATGATTTTATGGGCAGAAAGGATTCTCACTGTTGTTTCAATTTACATTCTTAATGTAAATTTAAAAGGCTGACTGGTAAGAAAACACCTTTCACTGTGTGTGGTCATATGCATCTCCTGTCGCATGCACGAATGGTCTTAGATGCTGCCAGCTTGTGCACTCTCCTTGTTCACATGGTGCTGACAGTATTTCAGTCCTTTCACATCTCTTCCTTGAAATACTTCACCTCAGTTTATCAAAGAACAATGAGATTTCTTTCAATGGCACAAACCAAGCATATGAATTCATGCTTTAAAAATAAAGGTTTGCTCTACTACCTCAGTGATAAGGAACAAACTCCCTCCCACGTCAACAATGATCTTCATGATTTGGTATCAACACAGTACACTATACGTCTTAGTCTTATTCAGAAACAAAAATGTTATTTCCTCTTCCTAGAATCTGTACCACTGCACTTCATTCCTCGCATCAGTTCAGTCATTCAGTCGTGTCGACTCTTTGCGACCCCATGGACTGCAGCACACCAGGCTTCCCTGTCCATCACGAACTCATGGAGTATACTCAAACTCTTGTCCATCGAGTCAGTGATGCCATCCAACCATCTCATCCTCTGTCATCCCCTTCTCCTCCGGCCTTCATTACTTCCCAGCATCAGGGTCTTTGCAAATGAATCAGTTCTTCGCATCAGGTGGCCAAAGCAATGGAGTTTTTGCTTCAGCATCAGTCCTTCGAATGAATATTCAGGACTGATTTCCTTTAGGCTGGATTGGTTGGATCTCCTTGCAGTCCAAGGGACTCTCAAGAGTCTTCTCCAACACTACAATTCAAAAGCATCAATTCTTCAGCGCTCACCTTTCCTTATAGTCCAACTCTCACATCCATACATGATTACTGGAAAAACCACAGCTTTGAACAGACGGACCTTTTTTGGCAATGCAATGTCTCTGCTTTTTTAATATGCTGTCTACGTTGGTTACAGTTTTTCTTCCAAAGAGCAAGGGTCTTTTAATGTCATGGCTGCAATCACCATCTACAGTGATTTTGGAGCCCAGAAAAATAAAGACAGCCACTGTTTCCACTGTTTCCCCATCTATTTCCCATGAAGTGATGGGACCAGATGCCATGATCTTAGTTTTCTGAATGTTGAGCTTTAAGCCAACTTTTTCACTCTCCTCTTTCACTTTCATCAAGAGGCTCTTTAGTTCTTCTTCACTTTCTGCCATAAGGGTGGTGT